CAAGGTGTGCACACACATCTGGGAGCAGATCCAAAGAGTTCTGTGGGAGATCCAAGGTGTGCACACACATCTGGGAGCAGATCCAAAGAGTTCTGTGGGAGATCCAAGGTGTGCACACATGTCTGGGAGCAGATCCAGAGGGTTCTGTGGGAGATCCAAGGTGTGCACACACATCTGGGAGCAGATCCAGAGTGTTCTGTGGGAGATCCAAGGTGTGCACACATGTCTGGGAGCAGATCCAAAGAGTTCTGTGGGAGATCCAAGGTGTGCACGCACATCTGGGAGCAGATCCAAAGAGTTCTGTGGGAGATCCAAGGTGTGCACACATGTCTGGGAGCAGATCCAAAGAGTTCTGTGGGAGATCCAAGGTGTGCACACATGTCTGGGGGCAGATCCAGAGTGTTCTGTGGGAGATCCAAGGTGTGCACAGAGCTGGGAGCAGATCCACAGGTGTGGGGCCAAAAGAACAGCAAAGAAAGGCAAGTGACTGTAAAATGAGAGTGAAAAGAGCAGGTGGGAAGGGGAGAAGGGATTGAAGAGGCCAGAGGCTGATTTCTAGCCTGCTCAGTGGTTTTTTCCTCATCTAACCCTCAGCTTTTCGGGCAGGAGTTGTATGTCTTGCCTGCAAAAGCTGTTCCATGAATTCCCAGTGGGAAGGCAAGGCTGAGTGTCGTGGTGTGGGTGGAATTGCTTGCTGGAATTACCAGAATTGCCACAGCACTTAGACAGCCAGGGAGCCTTAAAGGAGGAGGCAGGAGGAGGTGGAGATCTGGCACCTTATCCCAGAACTGCTGAGGTTTCTCTGCAAGGCCCTTCATTCCCAGCAGGGCTTTGCCCTGAGAAATCCACAAATCCATAGAGGGATTTGCAAGGCTGGAAGGACAGAGGAGGCTGGGATTGGGTTTGGAGCAACCTGCTGGGATGAAGGGGAATGAGAAGCCTCCTCTCCATGGGACTCTGTACATCATCTGTGTGATCAGCAGCACCAAGCCCAGCTCTGGCTCCCATAGAGGGGTCTGGGATTATCCCAAATGCCACTCCAGGCCATAACCACCAGGTTGGAAGCACACACAGAAGAGGAGACACACAGAATATTTACCATTGTGAATAAATGAGGAAGAGGATGGTCATGGGAGGCCAGGCACAGGTTCTTGGAAGTCATCCTGAGGACTTTCCTGGGGTATTTGCCAGATCCAGACGGTGATTCCCCATCAGTGTGTGCCCTTGGCGGGGCCAGGAGCAGAGCAGTGGGAGCTGTGCCAGGCCCGTTGCAATGACGATTCTGGCAGGGTGGAAAGGGTGCAGAAAAAAATGGCAACTTTTGTTTGAGAACCAGCAAAAAAATGCCTTCTGGGGAGAGGTTACAGAGCTCCTGGGTTTGTCAGCCAGACCTGTGAGAGGTGAGTTGGTCACAGCCCAGTGCAAAGGGGCTGTTTAAGAACAAACAGGGTGGCAAAGCCGAGGGTTTTCAGATACAACATGACAGAGACTCACAAGCCTGGCTGCTGGGCCAGGAGAAGGCGATTCACCCCCTCTCCTGGCCAAATCCAGGCATTTTTCCTGAAAATACAGCAGTTGGAAATAACATCCTTGGATCAGCACTGTTCAGAAGTTGCAAGAGATGATCTGTGGTCTCTGCCACCCTTGCTGGGTGGGTTTGGCACTGGCTGGGACAACCCACCTGCAGGGACAAGGCATCAAAGCCCCCTCCCCACCCTCATCTGCCCTCTGCAAGGACATTCCCAGGAAATACTTCCCAATTTCTTTGGAGTCCAGGGACCTCTGCCCTCCCTCATCCCGCTCCTCGCTGTGTCCAACAGCCAGTGTGGACACCCAGCCTTCTGCTAAACAGATCCCTGAGAAAAGGCTCCAAGTTTGTCAATGAAATGATGGATCAAGTCAAAAACTTCCTCTTGCTGATGAGCAGCGATGAGACCCCTCTGGCAGGGGCAGGGGGGCAGTGCCCAGCACCTCACCCCTGGTCTTTCCAGCTCTGCCCACTCCCTGTGCCAGCATTAGTCCCCCTCTGCTTCCTCATTTGCCTTCTCTGAGCTTCCTGGGAGGTGTCCATCCCAGGCTCAACCTCGACAGCATCCTTTGGGATGTTCTTCTCACCCTCATCACAGCTGGCAGCTTAATAGCACTGGGAATGTCGTTGCCATGCGGGGCTCGGGATCGTTAATCGGATGTTAAGGAGGAGCGGCCGCGCTGGCAAACAGCTGCTGCCTCTGCACTCCCCGTCCTGGCCCCATCCCGGCCCCTCACATCTAGCACAGCCTGGCCTGCTGAATTTCGGGATCTTGTGCCCTTGCTCCTCGGTTTCCCACCGTGTCCCTCTCTGCCGGAGCGTTCCTGGCCCCGGAGTGCCAGCGGGACCCTCCTTCCTCCCCCAAACGCTGCTGCCTTTGTCGTTCTCCAGCCATCTGTGACCTCAGCGGCTCGCCGTGCTTTTCACAAATAATTATTCATGCATCTCTAAATTCATTAACACCTTAGGATACGCGTCACGCTGGCTGATTTGCATATGTTCACATCGCCTCAGCGCCGCTCCCCACGCTCCTGTTCTGCCAGGCAGTGCCTACAGGCAGGGAAAAGGCTGCCAGCTCTGGTGGCTGGAGGCAAGAGCCCGATAAAGGGCCTGATCCTGGGAAAAACAAATCACAAGAGCAGCGTTCTCCCTCCTGCCGGGATGCTCTGTGTCAGCCTGGCTGAGCCCGGGCTGGGAGGAGAGGGATGAGGAGCATCCTCAGCCCCGGTGTGGTGTCACACCCTGTGTTACCATGGCTGGGTTCATTCCTGGCTGATTGGACCCTCTGCATTTCCCCACCTGTGAAATGAGGCTGGGGATCCCAACGGAGCCACCCCCACTGCCTGGAGCAATCAGGGACAATCCCCAAGTGACGGACAGGCAGGAGCATTCCAAATCAAAAGGGTGACCGAGGCATCACCTCTGGTTCATATTTGGGGTGGAACAGTGCAAATAACCAGTCCAGTGACAGGTTGATCTTTTCCTTGCTCTCCTTTCATTCCTGTCTCCTGAAGCCCATCCCGCTGCTCTGAGGGCTGTTCCCAGTTTGTTCACAGCCATCACAGGTGATCAACACCAGGCACTTTTTCCAACCAGGAGCTCAGCTCAGTTCCCTGCAGAAGAGATAAACTGAAAAAAGCAGAATTCCCATTCAGGGTGAGGCTCATCCCACCTCCAGCCCAGCAGACACAGCATCCCTTTCTCTGCCTTTCTCCCTAAAAAATGCTCCACATGCCCCGAGGCCGGTGCCACCACAGCCCTGGGAAGCACCAGCAACCTCCAAGCTGGCAGATCCAGGTCTGGATCAGAGCCAGGCTGCACCTCCACGACATCCAGCCTCACCTGGGAGGTCCAGGGCACATCCCTCCTGTGCAGCCAACCCATTCCAGTGGCACCAGCCCATCCGAAAGCAACATTTTGGGGAGGGGTGGAATGAGGTGGTGCAGCTTCAGCTGGGATGGGCAGCACACACCCATGGTGGGAGTTCACATCACCAGGCAACCGAGGCTGGAGCTGCTCTTTGAAGGCAATAAAGCCTTGTCCAGCTGGGAATTCCCAGGAGGTTGTTTTTTTTAATCATGGGCTTGTCTCCTCCCTGCTGGGAGCAGAGGAAGCCACTGTTTGGGAATCATCTCCAACACCCCTCACCCTCGTAGGGTCTGACCCACACCAGTGCTGCCAGTGGCATCCCGTTGCCCAACTAGCAGGAAATACTGCAAGGAAATATTGTCACCCGGAGTGAGGGGTGGGGAGACACGTGGAGCCTGCCAGGTCTGGGGGCTGCTCAGGGACCCAGAGCAGCATTTTACAGAACATATTGTGCCCTCAAATGAGAGCCAAGAATTTAGAATCCTGTTGGATTTGCCATCCCAGCTGCAAGTGGCTTCAGCTGGTGGTGTGAAGTGCATCCCTCAGCCACCCTGATCCAGGAGGGACCGGCGACGTTTGGGCTTTACACCTCGATGCCCAGCTAGCTCGGGGATGGTGAAGGCTGCTGGCACCCGGCACTGCCAAGCAGGATTAAGTCCTGGCACGACATTCCCGGGATTGGAATGGCGCTGGCAGGAGGGGAATGACGGGCACACGGCTCTAACAGGCGGGTGCATCCCCGGCCACGTGCAGGGCAGCGCCGAGGAGCACATTGGTGCTGTCACCGGCTGGAGAAAGCCACGGCTCCGGGAAAAATAGCCCGGGCACGACGCTGGAGCATCCCGTGCCAGCGCACTTGGTCATTCCTGGTCTTTTTCCATGCATTTCCCGCTCTCTCTTCGTAATGCCCATTAATATTGGTGACGAAGTGAACTTCAGTCAACTTTCCTTCCCTCCCAGTGTTTACCCAGCGGCGGCAAAGCGGAAGCGACGCTAATGAGCATCTCAGCACCTGCTAATTAACGCCGTAAGGTCGCATCGGGGCTGAGCCGCCACGCAGGTTTAACAAAGGTCACGTTAATGACCGGCTGTAGTGGGGGAATTGGCGATTCAGTGATGAGATGGCTCCCTGCAGCCCCAAAGCCACGGGGTGCGGCCGGACCCAGAGCATCCTGCCAGCCCCGGGCACAGGCAGGGTCCCCACGGGACTGGAGGGGCATCCCAGTGCCTGGATCACTGCCACCATCCCCGCAAGAGCTACAGAAAACGGCTTAAAACACCCCATCAAACCCGACACCAATTCCACGGAGGTTTGGTCCCAGCGGGACTGTCCCCTTGGTTCTCACCTCTCTTCTCCCCTCTCCACCCCTGGGTCTTGCCCTGCCCGCCCAGGTCACACACGCCAAAACCCAGCCAAATCCAAGCAGGAAAAGTGGATTTTCCTTTTCTTTCTGAGCCAGGACTTGTAAAACCCTTCTTGGGTTAACACCCCCGATCCCTGCCTTTGCTGCGATGCTTTAGGGGATTTAGGGAGTCGCTGGGGCCAGCAGAGCAAAAGAAACCTCCACATCCCATTTTAGTTGCACTGGTTTAATCCTCGGCGACAGTTGTATTTATCCAGGTAAATCAATGGCTGATAGAGGTTTTTTTTTTTTTCCCTAGGAAAACTCAGGTACTTTAATTTATTGCCTTTAACAGCCACATCAAAGGCTTTCGGGAGATGAACAGCAAGCGCCGCGGGGTGAATTTCCACAGCCACTTACCACCTTAAAGAGGAGAGAATTTGGGCAATAAAAGGGGATTTGAGGCCTGCTTTGGGGCTGTGATCCCAGAGAAGCCAGGCTGGATGCGCCCGATAAATACGGGAGAAGATAAAAAAAGGCAACTGAGAAATTGGTTGATAATTATTCTGCTTCCTGCACAGTCCCCCGTGCCGAAGGAGGGGTAATTAAAGCGTAGTGTAATTAATGTGCAACTTGCCCTTCCCCCTCGATCACGGCCAGCCTTCAAAGGAATACTGAGGTGACCAAGTTCAGCTGAGGAGGGAAGGATGAAAAGAAGAGGGGGGAAAACAGCAAAATAAGGAGATTTTGAGGGTGTTGCTTTGGCCAGGTGGTGCAGCTCCAACCCTCACCACGGTAAATAAATTCACTTTCTTCATCAGCCGGGCCTTTTTTTGTCCAAAACAGAGGGAAAAACAACCTGTAAGCCAGGGAATCGCGAGGCTTTTTTTTTTCCGGCTCCGCTGCTCTCCGACACCGCCCCGCTGGGGCATCCCTGGGCACAACCGGCTGGTGACAACTTCCCTGTGCCGTGGGGCTGATGACGGGTGTGGGGCTCAGCCCACGTGGCGTGGGTGGTGGGGGGGACAGCCGGGGGCCGCCGGGGGCCGCCGGGGGCCGGGGGACGCTGACCCCCCACTCGCATCCTTTCCTAGATGGACCGGGGGGAGTTCCAGCAGGATTCGGTGCTGAAGCAGCTCGAGGTGCTCAAAGAGGAGGAGAAGGAGTTTCAAAACCTGAAGGTGAGTCAGGCCATGGGGACATGGCCCCACTCTGTCCCCAGCCCCATGAGGAGATGGGGCTCAGAGCCCCCCGGGTCACTCCTGGCAGAGGGTCTGCACGCCGGGGTGCCGGGCACAGCTCCCCGTGCCCACCCCCGGGCAGGACCAGCTCGTCCCTTGCCTGGCATTGCTGCTGCCAGCCTTTCTGTCCTTGGGCCATGTCCCCCCTGTCACCAGTGCTGGTCCATCCCAGAGGGCTGTCCCTGTGTGGGGAGGGATGCTTTGGTACCCCTGGCAGTGTTTTCTGGCCCCAGCACCAGGGGGATAACATAAAGGTGTGTGCCAGGAGAGGGCAGTGCAAGGGGCACCTGTGCCCCGATCTGGAGGAGGTGGAGCAGGGTGGGACACATTGGTGGCACGGGAGGACATTGCTGCTGCGGGTAAGAGGGGTTGGTGGTTGAGGGTGTCCTCCAAAGGGGGGCTCTGAGGATGGTGGAGGGTGTGGAGAAAAGACTGAGGGGAGACTCATCGGGGTCTGCAGCTTCCTCCCGAGGGGCAGCAGAGGGACAGCACCGATCTCTGTGACAGGACCCGAGGGAATGGCTGGAACTAGCTGGGGAGGGCTGCGTTGGATCCCAGGAAAAGGTTCTTCCCCCAGAGGGTGGTTGGGCACTGACCAGGCTCCCCAGGGCAGTGGGCACAGCCCCAAGGCTGCCAGAGCTCCAGGAGGGTTTGGACAACGCTCTGAGGGACAGGGGGGGATTGCTGGGGTGTCTGTGTGGGGCCAGGAGTTGAACTCAGTGATCCCTGTGGATCCCTCCCAACTCAGGATATTCTGTAATTCTTGCACGTGCTGGGTGAATGGGCAGGGTGGGCGCCCCAAATGCCACAGGACCCAGGGAGAGCGGGCACCACCAACCCGCCTCTGCTTTCTCCCACTCTGCAGGACCCCACCAACGGCTACTACAGCGTGAACACCTTCAAGGAGCACCACTCCACCCCCACCATCTCGCTGTCGGGCTGCCCGGCCGACCTGCGCCCGGCCGGGAAGCAGCGGGTGCCCACGGGCATGTCCTTCACCAACATCTACAGCACCCTGAGCGGGCAGAGCCGCCTCTACGACTACAGCCAGCGCTTCGTGCTGGGCATGGGCAGCAGCTCCATCGAGCTGTGCGAGCGCGAGTTCCAGCGCGGCTCCATGAGCGACAGCAGCTCCTTCCTCGACACCCAGTGCGACAGCAGCATCAGCAGCAGCGGGAAGCAGGACGGCTACGTGCAGTTCGACAAGGCCAGCAAGGCCTCCGCATCCTCCTCCCACCACTCCCAGTCCTCTTCCCAAAACTCAGACCCCAGCCGGCCCCTGCAGAGGCGGATGCAGACGCACGTTTGAGCCCCTCCGGGGGCCGCTCGGGACCCTCGGCGTGGGCGCCGTGGCGCTCGGACAGTGGCGCCCGCCGGCAGCGGCGGCGGGAAGAGGCCGGATCCAGCCCCCGGAGCGGGGCTGCGGGGCGGGGGGCCGGCCCAGCATCCCCCCCCTCCCCGGTACATGCTAAGCACAACCCCGCCGAGGACGCGCTGAGCCCCGGGGAGCCGGAGCCGCCCCCTCCGCGGGGCTGGGGACGCCCCCGGCCCCACCGCGCCCCCCCAGCCGCTCGCCTCCGCTTCCCGCTGCCCTCTCCCACCCGGCTCCTTCCCTTCCCTCGTCGTGTTCGGTGTCCATACTTATAGAGTCCGTTTCGGGGGGGTTTTGGGGGGGTCCCGCCACGTGGGACAGGATGGGGGGGACATCGGTGGGACAGGGACCCCCCGGGAAGGGCCTCTCCGGCTGTATCGCGGCGCCGCGGTCAATACAAGAGGTGTTTCTCGTGGCACGCCTGGGCTGGTGGCCACCCCGCGGGGACATCGGCTTTTCGTGGTGACACTTTGCCCGGCACAGACCTGGCCTGGAGCCTGGATGTGCCATGGCCTCCTGGGGGAACCCCCGGGGGGGGCAGAAGTGGCTGGTGGTGGAGGGAAACTGAGGCACAGGGCAGCTGGGAGCCCACGACCCCAGCGTGGGAGCCAGGACATGGGGCGTCACAGCAGGTAAGGGGACATGGGGACAGGCCACCCTCTCTGCATCTCACAGTCCCAGGACTCCCTCACACACACCCCCATCAAACCCCAGGAGTGCCCAGCCCATCCCAGCCTCAGCAGGACCTTTATTGGGTGCCAGCATGAGCCCCAACACCCCCATCCATTGGTTCCCCCAACACCCACGGCCCCGCAGGGGGCAGAGGGGGCCCTACAGCAGCAGGGAGAAGGCACCGGTCGACCTCCCCATGGGGGGATGTTGGACACACCAAACACCCACCTCCTGGAGCCGAGCACCCCACCAGCCCCCCACCCAAGGCCCCTTGTCCCTGACACCAGTGGCACGCGGGCCCCAGGTGAAGGCTCCACCATAAATAAGCATTTAAATTAATTAAATTAATCTGCACCCCCAAAGGGCCCCGGCAGACCCCGAGGCCAAGCACCCCTGGGTGCCCCCACCCGGGGGGGCTGCGGGGACGAGCCCCCGCGCCAGCGCTAAGGCACAGGACGGGGCTGCCGAGTAAAAAGGACATTAAAAAAAAAAGGGGGGGGAATTAAATATCTGGGAGGGGGTCCAGGGGAGGGAGGAGGCAACACGGGCCCCCAAAGGCTCCCATTCCCTGCGAGGAGGGTCCCGGGACCCCCAGGATCGGCCCCTTGGCAGGGCCCTCGTCCGAGTGATGAGGGAATTAAGGGAAAGAGAAAGTCCAAGGCAGGGGCTCCTGCCCCGCCACACCCCCACAGGCCCGCTGGGAGGGAGGACCCCCCACCCCTAAAGTCCCCTCCAAGTCCTTGGTAGCTTCAGTGCGTTGGTAGAAAAGGTGCCGGGGGCTCCCTGCGCCCCCCCAGAGCTGCCCCCGCCCCGGGGACCCGCGGCCCAGCGCGGCCTCCCAGCCCTGCTGGCTCCGGCAGCCCCGGGGCGCGGTGACGGCGGTGACCAGGACACTCTGCCCTGGGGCGGTGACCAGGACACTCTGCCCTCGGCCGTGTCCCCTCACTGTGGGCGCTGGTGTCCCCTCGCAGCGGGGGGTGACATCCCTGCCACCCTCAGAAGTAGGTGAGGTTCTTGACCAGTCCCAGCTCCAGCATCCGCTTGATGGCCACGGCCTCGTGCGACACGTTGTGCTCCGACGCCTGCGGGACGGGGAGCAGGGGGTGACACACGGGACAAGGGGCCACGCACTTTCCTCTCGCCCCTCCCAGCCCTCCGGCTTGCCAACCTCACCAGTGGGAGTTGAGCCCCCCAAAAAGAGGGACAGAACCCTCCCCGCCCGATCCCCCTGGCCACGAGCCCTTCTCCTCACACGTAAACACACGGGGGTGGATCCAGCTCTCCACACCTCCAAAGACACTGGGCTAGAGGGATAAGTTGGATGGTGACCATCCAACAGTGGGCTTCAACACCCATCGTGGGAGGGGAGCAAGAGGTCTCCATGGGAGGAGGCTCCCACATCACTCAGCATCACAGCACTGCTCTCCTAGGCTGCCATCCCCCATCCCAGGGGAAAAAGAGGGGGGAGCGTGGACAAAATTGTGGGGCAGACACTTACGGCCATGGACTTGAGCGTGACCTGTTCGTAGTAGTGGATGGTTTGCTTCTTGTTGCCCGAGTCGGGGTAGCCAAAGCCCGCGATGTGCACCAGGTCGCAGAAGTGCAGTGCCAGGGTGATGGCCAAGAGCCCCGTGGTGGGCTTCTGGGGGACAGGGGCAGAGAGCCACGGCCTTCAGGGAGACGCACAGGGACAGGCTGTTCCCCCTCAGGGGGCGCAGGGGGGACCCCACCCCTTACCTGTTTGACCTTCCGTGGTTGCTTCATGGGGAGGTTGAGCACTTTAGCAGCAGTTACTTCCATGTAGTAAGGGTTCAGGACGCGCACTTGCTCCGGGTTGGCGTCCCAGATCAACGGGGGCTGCTTCCAAAACCCCTTCCGAACCTGCAAGAGGACAGAGATGTCCCCAGGGGTAGGATGGGATGAGGGCTGGACTCCAGAGCAGCCAGCGAGGGGTTGGGCTCGCTTCCCCACCACGCTCACCCTCTTCTTGTCGTTGAGGATGGCCTCCATCCACTGGAAGTCCATGGGCTTGAAGGGCACCAGCACCAGCAGCGTGTCGGGGTTGTTCTCCGTCCGGGGGTCGAAGTGGGCCGACTCCGGGTAGAAGAGGCGCATGGTGGTCTTGGAGCCCACGTCCTGCTCATAACCATGGACCGGGGCGTTGTTCAGCCTTGGGTGGGGGGACACGGGGACATCACAGGTGTCAGCCCCCGCCACGGGTGGCACCGGGGAGGGAGCGGCGGCACAGAGCCAGGGCCGTACCTGATCACGACGTCGTAGGTGTTGATGGTGTCGCCCATGGAGCTGTTGCGGAGCCGGTGGCCGTTGCCCACCACCGCACACCTCCGGCACTTCAGGCTGCGAGAGAAAGCCCCGTCTCAACCAGACCTGCTCCAAAACCGGGGTGGTTTTAACCCCCAGAGGGGGTTTCACCCCATGTTGCCCAGTCTTCAAACCTTCCTGCGCTCCGTCCACCACCCCTGGGTTGCAGAGGTTCATTTTGCCAAATCCCGGGCCCACAACAGATGAATTCAACCCCTCACGAGAAAAAGACAAAGAGAGAAAAGCCCCTAAACCCACCCCGGTGTTACCTCTGGATGCTCTCGGGCAGGGAGTAGTGGGTGATGGACAGCAAGCGCAGGAGGACGTCTTCTGCAAAGCAAGGGCCAGCAGAAGGTGAGGAAGGCAGCTCCTGCCTGGCACAAGGCCCGGGGTGCTGCCCCATCCCTGTCGGATTTCCTCCTGCCGTTAATCCCAGCTCCGGGTGGATAATCCATGGCTGGGTTTGAGTAAAGCCTGGCCCACCCTAAACCCTTTTAGAGGGCCCAAATGCACCCAGAGCAAGGAGATACCAGCTGCAGAGTCTAAAAATCAAGCAACTAACTTGTTGGCAGGGGGGTGAACAGTCTCCAAAAAGCAACCTGCAGCAGCTTTTCAGAGGGAAGCTGAAACCCCGGGGAGCGGCAGCAGGACAGACAGACAGACAGACCCACGGAGCACTGCCAGCACTCACCACTTCCCTTGGTGCCGTAGGGCAGCTCGTAGAGCGACGGTGTCTTCACCCAAAAGTAGTCCTTCAGCTGCAAGAAGAGCGGGTGGTCCCTCGTGTAGCTGCCGAGGAGCAAAGGGTCGGTGAGACCGGAATGAGGAGGAGGCACAGGGAGGGGGGTCCTGGCTCTGCATCCCCCCACTCCCTCCTCCCAGCCCCAAAACTCACTTCCCGATGAGCTGCGCTGCTTTCTTTTCCACCTCCCCAAGGGGACACGTCGTCTTGTTTTCTTGGACGGGGAAATAAAAGCTGTAAGGGAAGGGGTTAATTAAATCAAATGATGCCCGTTCCCCTGCACCCCCCTCCTGGCAAAGGGGGGTTCCAGCACCCCACGGTGGGATTCAAGCCATGCCAGAGATATTTCCATCCGTATTTAAGGCCAGCACTGCCTTGGATGTTTATCTGCTGGGCTTGCAGCCTTGCATCGGAAGAGGTCTCTCTTGCCCTGCTCATGGACCTCTCTGCTTTCCCCATCTCCGTCAGCATCACTGGCACGGGGAGGAGAGTGGGGTTTTCCCATCCTCCCGGGCTCAGGAAAACACTGGCATTCACCAAAAACCCCGCAGAGCCCGACCACCACCACACACCGAGGAGGAAACCTCGTGTCGTGCCCCCACCCTCCGGCAGCAGCCGAGGATGCTGCCGCCTCCCCGCTCCCCCGGGATCCAGCCAGACCATGCTCCTGCATCCCCGTGCAGGACGGGAGGGAGGATGCCACCTCCTGGGAGTGAAGGGAAGGGCGGGAGGTCCTTTAAACTTGAATGAAAGGCACTCACAGCTGTGTGTACCTGTCTTCCCGGTAGATCGAGTACCAAACCATCACCAGAAACAGCGCCAGCACCCCGAGTATCTTCCCTCCTGCGTGCCCAGAGGGGAGGGGGATAGAAAAAACACCGTCAAGCCGGTACCCCGGGGTTTGGATGATGGGATGTGGGGTCCCACAGCCCTCTGGGGATGTCCCAGTAGATCCAGGTCAGCAGAGCTTTGATGGGGAGTGGCCGCGGTTTGGTTGACACCATGCTCCCGAGAGGAGCAGTTGTGAGACACAGCCAGGTGATTTTGTCCTGGTTCCAAAAGCCACAGTGACACTTCTGTTTCCACCTTCTGTCAACAGCTGGGCAAACATCTCTCTTTCCGGGTGCCTCACCCCATTTTTGTACCACAAACTTCCAGGTGCCCAAACCCAGAGGTTCAAGGACCCCAAAACCACCCTCCCTGCCAGGACTTTGCCTGTGATACCCCAGCACTCCATCACCCAGCTGGAGCTGCAGCAAAGCAGCATCCAACCCCCAAAAGCCAGATTTCCACATGCAAATCCCCCAGCACCCCCCATCCCTGCCTGGACAGAGGGAGATGGGACTCACGAGACTTGTTGATCATTTTTATGAGCAGGAAAGGGA